AATAATAATAATAATAATAATAATAATAATAATAATAATAATAATAATGGCAGCATCCAAGGTCATTGCGGCATTGTTGAATAATGTCTATTTTAGTCTTTTCTCTTCTCATCACTCAACCCTTACTCTTTCCCACCCCTCAAACTCTTCAGTTGATTTTATCCCCCTTTTATTCATTGAGCCCTTGTTGTTTTACCTATTCTGTTATTGCTATTGTTATCTTCTGTGCTGGAGTGATCAACCCGTCCTTAGAGTGTCTATGGCATCCAGGAAGGGAGTGAGAAAAGTCCCTCTAGACACTGACCCTCCCCTATCCTAAGGGCATCACAATACAGGAACACAATGCCTGCAACCTTGCAAAGACAAGAGGTTGGAAATCTTTTATCTTTGGCTTTCTGGAATGACCTTTTTATTTTGGTTTCTTATTTGTGTTCTATTTTTATTTAAACAGAGAACGGACATTCTTTGAAGTCTCTCATGACCACTACAGATGAACCCAATCTACCAACTTCCCAACAGTCCATAGAGTATTAGAAGATGTTTACATTTTGGAGGGAAGCAAACCTAAACTATTGTTTGAATTACTAAGAAGTGATATATGATGAGCTTAGTTGAGAAGTGTGCATATGTGGTCACAGTGCAGTTCTGTTGGAACATATGTTTGATTTTCAGGCCATTGACCATTTAAAATTAATACTCATGGTCTCTACTTTTGATTTTTTTTTTATTTTTATATTCCGGGTCATAAAATGCTAATGGTGTGACTGTTGCTGTCAGAACCTATTTTGTTACCTATCACCAAATATCATGGATAATGCTGTAACTCAAGTGATCTCTAGCAGGCAACTTCTGACATACAGCTTTAGCAAAAAGTCCACATACAAACTGCAGGGACGGTATTCAGCTTTAATTTCTGTGTGTGAAAGCTTCCATATTAAATTTCTTTATCAACGCAAATTGATGAATTTGACTGTTCTCTTGAATAACATGGCTTGTGTGTATCAAACTTGGAACAATGTAGGAGTTTCAGTTTTCTATAGTCTTGAAAATGGCTTAAGTTCTAACTTTCACTTATTTCAAAGAAAGCCAGAAGTTGATCACGGGCCAGTAGAAGCTATTAGGAAAACCAAACCCACCCGGGTAAGATTGCTCAGAGCAGAAAAGAGGACCAGCCTCCATAAATCTAGTTTATTTCCCTTGAGTCAGCCAAGGATTCTGGAAGAAAGGGGAATATGAGGAGAAAGGAGACTTCCTGGAGTTTTACAGATAGGTCATGGTAAAGACAGGGTTTTTCTCCCAGAGAATCAGATGGCTTGGCATGTCTGTAGGACGTTAATATACCATGGGCTTTATTGCTTACATTCAAACTAAATCAAACTGAGGGACACAAATAACATTCAAATTTAAAATATGGGGTCACTTAGATGTGGCTGGTAATTTTATTTGGATGTTTACATTTTTAGAATTAAGACACTATGGAGGCTGTATATTCCTTTCTCTTCTTCATTTACTATTAAACGACATCATTATAGGATAAAATTTAACTGTATACCTATGAAGGTTATTTTCCAACTCATATCAATAGAGTGAAACAAATTTTGAACCAATAAACCTTTTAGAAGTTTTCAGACCACTGATAAGATATATTTCAATATTATGTGGTTAAACATTCTTTTAGTGAAACCTTCCATATGAATGTGTTTTTAGATGGCCATGACCTGTTCCTCAACTAGTTACTCATTACGAAGCTTTGAGCACCGTTGAGTACATGAAACAGAGCATTTGGAGAACACATGTGTGCTTGACCCCATACCATGTATTATTTCTATTTTTCCATATCTATAGAAAGAAGATAATGAAATGAGTGGATTAGATGCTGAGCTCATTTAAAATTTTAGAACAACTCAGACATATAAGTAGTAGAAACATTAAAGGAAAAATAAAATGTTTGAAGAAAAATCACAAATGTATAGATTCTGTCAGAAACAAAGTGGGAGTGGATCAATTTTCTCATCATATACCATTTAGTGACAGTATTTTTCATCATTCAGTATTTTAACGCTGACATAGGTCTATGCCATTATTATTATATTTAGTGTTTGGTATATTTATTCATTTATGGTTTTAATCACTAATATATTTCAGTTAAGAATTTGCAACTGCTCTGTTTTTCTCTGAGATACACTTGCCATTGTGAAGAACATCTGGGTACACCACTATCTCAGGCAATAACTCAGAATTCATTTTACTAGCTTAAAAACTGTAACATTCAGAAGCTAAATTAAATGTATGATCTATGAACCAAAACACATTTTCTGTTTGGTTGTGTTAACTATTCAATGTGGTGTATCTGCAGTATTTTTTATTTCACATTGTATTTTAATGTGTTTACATTGTTTGTACTGAGCTTTTTGCACACAGATTTTTGATTTGTAGCTGCTTGGCAAGATTTCATTGTGATGTAACCCTTGTTCTTATAAAAAAAAAATCATGTTGTACATTTGTCTTGTGTGTTTGTCTTCATTCCATGTGTTCCATAGGATATATCTTTACGTGAAGTCATGTATAAAGAATAACAATTTTCAGGTCTGTCGATGTCTCTTTCACCATCATTATCTTCAGCAAGTAGGTGACATCAGTTGTTATTTTCAGATAGCTTCCAGTAGATTCTCACTATGACCTGAAGCAGGTATGTGAAGTCAGTCTACCCTACCTTCACACCTTATCCCGTGGTATAAAATAGTAATTGCTACTCTCTTTGGAAAACTTCTTTTGCTTATTCTGTTGTATTCCAACCTTTCTTTTTTATGCTTGGAGATTAAGTTTTTATTATGTGGAAACATAATTTACTATAAAATGGAGTGACACTTTTCAGAAGAGAGTATTTTCCGGTCACAGTAACCAATCTCCACCAAGACCATTTGCAGGCATGGCTCACTTACTTGTAGCCCGTGATCATAATTAAGTGTCAAATTTCTTTTCACTATGAAGAGAGGTTGGTGTGTTTGTGTTTGTAGCATTTGAAAACTCAAGCCTGAGACTTTCTTGTCTGGTTTTGAAAAACTGAGCCTGCCTCTCCCTTCTGGTTTTTGATATTTCCAATTTTCAGCCCCCATGGTGTCATTTGTGGTTGACTGACACACCTTAGTTTTAACCTTATACACTTGCCTTTCTGCAAGTGTGATGGAATGAAGTTGTAACATACTGAGCATTAAAATGTGTCTTTTCTTTTAGCCTGAAACATTTGAGCATCTTTTTACCAAGCATGCTGGATCAGTGATATTTGGTCCTCTTCTTCTGGAGCCTGAACCCATTTCAGAAGAAATCAGTGTCGATGCAGCTTGGAAAAATAAAGATGAGATGGTACCAGCAGCTATGGTCTCGCTTCTTTTGACCACTCCAGACCCTGAGAGGGGTTCTGTTGGTGTTGGTGGCCAGTGTAACAGTGCTAACTTCTCTGGGGCTCAGGTAGCCTGTGAGGATGAGTGTCAGAGACAACCCTCAGTTAAATATGCCACGCTGGTCAGCAACTCCAAGCCAGCTGAAACTGACGAAGAGCAAGGGCTTATACATAGTTCTGTCAGCAGGTGCGTCTCCAGTGAACCTTCTCCGCTGAGGGAGTCTTTCTCTAGCAGCTCCTGGGAGATAGAGGCCCAGGCATTTTTCCTATTATCAGATCAGCAGCCCGACATGGTTTCCTCACAGCTCGCATTCTCGGGGTTGGATGAGCTTTTGGAAGTGGAGGGAAATTTTCCTGAAGAAGATCATAGTGAAAATTCTGTCTATTATCTAGGGGTCACCTCAGTCAAAAAAAGAGAGAAAGATATGTTTTTGACTGATTCGTCAGGAGTACTGTGCCCGTTCCCAGCCCACTGCCTGTTCAGTGACATCAGAATCCTCCAGGGCAGCTGCTCACACTTTGTAGAAAATAATTTGAATTTGGGAGCCTCTGGTAAGAAGAGCTTTGTACCTTACATGCCCCAGTTTCAAACGTGTTCCCCCCACAGTCACAAGATAATGGAGAATAAGCTGTGCGATTTAACGGTGTAATCTCATTCAAGGAGCCTCCAGCTTTGTGTTCCAGTAGAGCATATCATGTGTAATGTATTCTTTTACTGTTGTGAATGTAGGAGACAAGTGTCAGGGTCTCGTTTGAAAATGATTGTTTCCAAATTAATTGTGTCTGTCTTTTCTCAGTAATACAACAAAACATACCAGGAAGCCTTCACGAGTCTGGTAAGGTAGACAGACTCTTATTGAATAGATTCTCAAGATACCCTGGGAAGGGCTCTTGTTTCTAGCTAAAAATAAACCCAGGAAGTAGAATCTCTCTAAAACATCTGGCCTCTGTGGAAAGAACAAATTTCAACATCATATTGACACCTACCAGAAAGGCTTCAAACCTATATACCTGAGATATAATTTTTTCCCAAAGGTGTACTTGTCTTATGTGGAATTGTCCTGTGTTGTGCAAATTCACACATGTACACGTGCAAATTTAAACTGATTAGGCCTCCTGTGTGTTCTAGAAGTATGTGACATGTCTGTATTTTCTGCCACCTGACTGTACTATTTGAAGTATCACTCCGTTAAATGTTGAATATTAGTAGAGAATTGAACCATAGTCCAGGAAGTTATACCTTTGGAGACAAACAGGTTAACTAATCCCTTGGCCACAAAGCCAGGATTTGTGATCTAAGATAAAAGCAGCTTTTAGAATGGCAGTTTTTATCACCAGCACTGTGATAACAGCATGAGCAGTTTTGAGAGCATGATGCCAGCTTTAGCTCTCTAAATTACACCGCAGTGATACTATTTTCTGATAGATTGCCACATGCCACTGCAGAGTCAGCATCGTTCTTCATCTCCCGTGGGATGCTATCTCTCCCTCTCTGGGTATCTTTACGCAAACCAACCACTGCACTTTCCAGGCTGCATGCTTCAACTTGCCTATCGCAGTAATTGCACAAGGCGCATGCTCTGTGTTCCCACTCCTATCTCATTATTGTCCTGTCAAGGGAGAGGCGATTAAGTCATTTGCCCACAGTCCCAGACTTAATGGTTGATGAAACCATAATTCAGATTTAACTCACATCATTTTAAGGGTACTGATTTTTTTTTTTACTCAATCTTACATTGCCATCCTTTAAAAACAAAACAACGGATGTTACCCAAGAAGACCTGGTAAGAGGAAACATTGTAATGGATGAATAATTGAGGACTGGTCTTGGACTTGAAAATTGGTGTGGGGATGTATTATTTCAGTGTGTGATATGACAAGATGATTCAGCAGCAGCCTAACAAACAGGAAGGTTAAAACCCCCTCACATTTGAGATGTCTAATGGCAAGCAGAAGTCCAAGAATACCAGTATCATCGATGTGAATACATCAGTGCTTAGCAGTGGGCTTATGTATTCCAAGCACCGTCAGCATTTTATACTAATCTGAGGCTGGCCTGCTGATTCTACCATTAGCCTAAGTAAATCCCGCCATGCCATCCGTGCTCCAAATATAGCTTCATGAACAAGCAGTTCTCAGTGAGAAGACAGACTCCTGATCCTAGTTAGATTTTTTTTTTCAGGCTTTGTGTTCATGTGGTATTCAGAAGTGAAGCTGTTATATGTCCTGAGTTAGAGGTCTCAGAGTCCAAACATCAGCTTACCACTGTTTGGTCATGAGAAGGTAGAACGCTAGTTGGTGCTCTACGCAAAAATATGTGAAAATTTTTGTTTTCACCAACAAATTATTTTGAGATTGAATCTATCACTTTTAATATTTGCCTATTGGGTAGAGTCTAATATTGAAGCCTCTTAATCTCCCAGTATAGGAGAGATGGAAAATGTAAAAATATTCCAGTCAGTGTGCAATTGGAGATTAAGCGCTGAGCATTTCCACTGTGACAGCATTGGCTTGGACGTCTGGGCCCAGAACAATGGGTAAGAGAAACCAATAGAGATTCTATTGAGCTCAGGGGTATATCCGGTGTGTGAGCTACAGTGAACTCACAGGTCCAAGGGTCATTGAAATAATGCAGGTTTGAGTTAGAGGATTCCAGGACAGCATTTTCATCTGAGCTCATTGATATTGTGCTGTTTTTAGGTTCTAAAAACAGAGAAATCACATCAGGACGACAGACTGGTATCTCTAGCCACACTGAGAACACGGGTTAAATTACAGAATTTGCTCCATGGGTAACCACAGAATGAGATCATGTTTATTGCTAGTGAGCTTGGGTTCTGACTTCCACTTTCAAAAGTTAATTTCACTATTATTACACTTTAGGCACCGGGCCCTTGTGGAGATTGTTACTAAATCAAAGTTTTGTAAAATTTAGGGGAAATGTATGCTGTTTGATAAACCAGAATATTATTACTTTTCTTCCCAACAAGTCTATAAATTTTTAAGGGATCAAGGAGTTCAATATGAATTTTGAAGTTTTGTTTTATTGTAGTTTTTGAACTTCACTTTTTAGTGTTTGGAGTTGAACCAAAATCTCATGCATATCTGGCACTGAGATACAACTTCTAACCTTGACTTCTAAAAATCTTGTGACAAATATGGGATTTTGAATATGTCTCTTATAGGCCTTAGATTGAAAAGCATCCAGTCTTTTTAAATTCAAATTTTACAGAAAGAGAATCAACAGTCTGACCCATGGCTTCAACCTAAAACAGTGAGAAGATAAAAACCCAGAGGTTGAAAAACCAAAAGCCACACTGCTCTCTGAGAGTGGGGGCTCCTATAGCAGCCTTCTGTGCCATTTATAGATGCTCTGCATTTGAGGAGAAATGTCCCGTTTTTGCTAAATGTAGTGTCAGGCACTGGAAGGACTTGGGTAAAGTTCTGAAGCCAGTGGAAGAGTCCGGGCTCGGAGTTCGGATTTCCATCCTTGGAGTTAGGATTTCCACCCTTACTCTTGACAGTCTTGCAATTCTTCTCGTCCTTTCCCAAGAAAATGAATCCCTTTCTTGCAAATGGCAAACATATATTCACATTTCTCCAGTAGTGTTGATATTAGCTACCAAGAGCTGCAGGAAAATTGATTTTAGGCGGGAAGCGTTGTGGGGTGTGCACACAGGGAGCGTTGGCAGCGTAGTGATGAGTCCAGACCTGCTACCACTACAATTCTGTCACCCACCGGTGGATGGGAACACACCTCTGAATTCCACTGACCTTCAGAAGAAATGTGAGCTTTCTTCATCTTCCGAGACTCATCTTGATAGCTACTTTAAGGACCACTCTGAAATAATTCTTAAGGAAACCCATTCTCAAAAATTTAAAGCACAAAATTAAGATGGCTCACTGTACTATGATGAAGCTGAGGCTGCCTGGGGGAGAAGGCCTTCAGCGTAGTTCCAAAGCACGTGACGAGCAAGGTTACTCTCTTGAGCCTCCAGTTTGAAACGGCAAAGCGCTTCTGCTCTCATCAATGTTGAGGGAGCAACTTAGAAACACAACTGTTTTACAATGGAGACACTGTGACATGCCTTTGTATGAGCAGC